TAGATGCCCACCATATTTCACTGTTTTGTCAGTTTACTGACAGGCAACTTTTACAATGGTAAAAATGTTTCCTGATTATAAGCCTGAATTAAGCAAATATTAATAATAATACCAACAATGAGGCCAACACAAGTTGAAATATAATAACATTAACACTCATACTTGTTTTATCAGTTTAATTAAAGGATGGCTTGACAGATTTAAGATAAAATTGAATTCATTAGTTATTTTATATAAATCAAAACAAACAATCAACACTTAATCTTTTCAAGATCTGATATTGATCTTTCATACAATATTGATGATACTTTGAAAAAACAAGAGGGCCATGATGGCCCTGAGGTCGCTCACCTGTATATAGGCCCCCCCCACCCCCCCCCCCCAAACGTTGCAGGGCCAATTTAACCAAAGGGCTTTTATTTGCACAAACTTGGTAGACACCCATAAGAAGATGTTTCATGCTTAACATCTAAGCTCTAGCTCATTGGGCTATTTAAAAGAAGATTTTTTTTAAGTTTTTACTATACACATATAGTTAAAAACAATGACACCCCTGGGGCCGGGCCAGTTATGACCCCAGGGTTTTTATTTGAACAAACTTTGTAGACACTTACTAGAATATGTCTCATGCTTAATATCTAAACTCTAGCTATTTGGGTTTTTTCAAAGAAGATTTTAAGTTTTTGCTATACACATATAAGGAAAATCAATGACCCCGGGGCGGGGCCAATTTTGACCCCAGGTCTTTTCTTTGAACAAACTTGGTAGACACTCACTAAAAGATGTTTCATGCTTAATATCTTAACTCTAGCTATTTGGGTTTTTTCAAAAAAGATTTTTTAAGTTTTTGCTATACACAAATAAGGAAAATCAATGACCCCCGGGGCGGGGCCAATTTTGACCCTAGGGCTTTTATTTGAACAAACTTGGTAGACACTTATTAGAACATGTTTAATGCTAAATATCTTAGCTCTAACTCTTTTGGTTCTTTAAAAGAAGATTTTTTAAGTTTTTACTATATGCATATAGGGAAAATCAATGACCCCCTGGGGCGGGGCCAATTTTGACCCAAGGGCTTTTCTTTGAACAAACTTGGTAGACACCTATTAGAACATGTTTGATGCTCAATATCTTAGCCATAGCTCTTTGAGTTCTTTAAAAGAAGATTTTTTAAGTTTTTACTATATGCATATAGGGAAAATCAATGACCCCCTGGGGCGGGGCCAATTTTGACCGCAGGGCTTTTATTTGAACAAACTTGGTAGACACTCACTAGAAGATGTTTCATGCCAAATATCTAAGCTCTAGCTCTTATGTTTTTTTAAAAGAAGATATTTAAAGTTTTTTCTTTCGGTTGCCATGGCAACCAGAGTTCTGCATGGAATTAAATTCTTTGAACAATTTTTAAAGGTGACCACCAAAGGAACATTCCTGTGAAGTTTGGATGAAATTGGCCTTGTGGTTTATGAGGAGATGTCATTTAAAGTAAAAGTTTACGGACGACGGACGGACGACGGACGCCGGACGAAAAGCGATCACAAAAGCTCACCCTGTCACTTTGTGACAGGTGAGCTAAAAAAAAGAGAAATGCTATTTAAAAATGTACTTTGTACTAAGTAGTTCAAGGGTTGAAACTCTTACACATTGCTTAATGTCTAACATTTTCAAATTCAATTATAATTTTATACTAAATTACATGTACACTGATTTTCATTAAGATTTCTATAAGACTACAAGTTACTAAATAACTGTTCTTATCTACAACTTTAACACATGGTGTTACCTCCAGGCTAAAAACATTAAAATTCTTTTTGCATACATGTATATATGAATTAATTTCATAACTTACATAAAAATAATTAGTTAACATATAGTAGAAACATATTAATTAAACAATACATTCCTCATTCTATACAGTCATATTGAATGTACATTCCACATAAAAGTGCTTTTCATAATAGTAATGTTTAATACATGTATAACCTGACTTCTTAAACAGCTACAATTATTTGTTCTTTTAACTATTTCACAGAAAACAGTACTCCAGAACTTTCAAGTTCAACTAATGGTATGCCTACACAGAAAACTTTCAAATAAACCCCATCTGTATCTGTCTGTGAATGACAAGATACAAAGCTGGATTATTTGTTGTAGTTAGTAAGACTGCCATTTTATAAAGGTGAAAATTTAATTTTAACCAAAGAAATGGTTAAGTACTTTTCAATGAATTTCGAGTATTGTTTGTTTGATTGGGTTTTACGTCACACTGGCACAGTATAGGTCATTCCAGTGTTGTATTTTTATACATGTGTATAGTAATTTTCATTCTGCTATGACTGAATTACGAGTGTTATTGAAACAATATAAGGCTATAAACATTTTTTTTAAATAAAAAAAGAAACGTTTATAAGCATTGGTTACAAAATAAAGTACAACAATAGCAACAATAGTGAAATTAGTTTGCTAGATTGTATAAAATAATTGAGCAGCGTCATGACAAAACCAACATAGTGCATTTGCGACCAGCATGGATCCTGATCAGACTGCACGGATGCCCAGGCTGGTCTGGATCCATGCTGGTCACAAACGCCTTACGTTGGTTTTGTCATGACACGGCTCAAATATAATTTAAGTGCGTTGGAAAGCATGTTTAATGTATGGAATGTGTTTGTATGAAATAACAAAACACAAAACACATAATTTCACAATATTGAATTTTTACACCTTAGTACAATACATGAAGAAAAAAAATAATGAAATTGTTAAATTTCCCTGTATGAATCAATGATCATATGATTTTGGAAATATTATCATATTAATTGGATCTACAATTGTTGTTTGCCCATTGGTAAGATCTGCAACTGCTTCTTAGCTGATCGTATGTTAATCATACTATTAAGGAATGCAGATATGTTTGATAAGACACTGCCAAAATTGGATGATTGACGTATGAGAGGTCCAGGTTACTATTTCATATAATATTTTTACAATACTCTAGCTAACAGAAAACATATAATTTATTGAATATGAAAAATTAAATACACAAATGAAAACAAATTGATCATGAAAACAGTTACTTTTCTCTTGTGAATAATGTTGGTCCCAAGACATGCTGAAAGGTAATCTACTATGAATTCACTTAATTTCATGGGCATGAAATTTTGTGGTTTTGTCAAAAAATGACATTTTCGTGGGGTTTTCAATTCGTGGACTGTCTGCTCTTTGCACACAAAAAAGTAAAATGCAAATAAAATAATTCAAAAATAATCTTACAGCAGACAAAATATAATTCTGTTGGATCTTAAATATGTGGATTTACCTAATCATGAAAATCAACTAATGCCATACAAAAAAAAATTATTTTGCAGTAAGTTGCAAGAGAAGAATCATTTAATAAAATTTGGTGTGTTGTTTCTTCTAAAATACATTGCAATAGGAAGAGATGCTAAGATTTTGAAATACAGTCCAACCCCGTTTATTCGAAGTGACGGGGACTGAAAATTTACTTCGAATAATCGATGGGTTCGAATAATCGAAATCGGAATATTTTGATAGACGAAAACTACTCCACTTTGGCAAACATAGGATAACTACCGATTACAACAAACTTGTTTCCTGCAATCAATTGAGAAAGATAAATATTCAAGAAAAGATACATTAAAAAATTTGTATTGGTATTGGAGACATAAATACTTGCATTTTATTCTACATTATGTATTGTTTCGTTTCGTGCAAAGCCTTGATAATGGCCGTGTTGTCAATACGGTATTTACAGCTAAACTCTAGTATTTTCGATGAGGGTAAAGGCTCTCATGTAGCGTTACAATTAATGAAGAAGAAAAATAAATATTTTGGCTATTTTGATAGATTCACATATAGAGTATTTATGAAAATTATCGCTGTCATCTTCACAGTAACAACGGTGCATAATTTTTCATTTTCGGTCATAAAAGGTAATAAAAGAACACCCAAGCGTAATTATCACGTTTGTCTAAAAACACGCATGACTGTTGAAAAATTTTCACAAGTAGAACGGCCAGTAAGTGGATATGGGCCAATTAGTCTGACTTCGAATAATAGGTGTGAAAATATTTCATAATTGTATAATCGGGGCCGAAATTTTACTTCGAAAAATAGGAGGTATTCGGATAATGCATTTCGAATTATACATTCGAATTTATATTGATTTACATACAGATAAAAACGGGACCGCCGATCTACTTCGGATAATGCCGGGTATTCGAATAAAGGGTTGTCGAATAACCGGGGTCGGACTGTATATTAAGCGAGTTGAAAATACAATATTTATCCCATGACACATGTTGTCTACAAGAAAAACAAAAAAACAACACTATCAATACCATGCAAAATCTGAACAATGGATTTGACCTGTTCTGAACTTAGCATTGACCAATTTAATTTAATTATTCAATTAAAGTGATTTCAATGCTCTGAAATGCTCACACCGTTTTGCTGACCATAAAACAGACTAATGTCAGACACAGAAAGCAGGCTGGCCTAACTTGACATTTCTGGCATTATAACTAGCTTTTAGAAGTGTAAAAATTACAACACCCTTTTTTGAAATAAAACAAATAGAGTAATGTCTGTATAGACAAAGGGTTGCCATAACAACCCAATATTGCTGAAATGTAAATTTATTCACTACAGCTATTGACTAGACAGCAAATAAAGCAATGATTTTCAATCTACCTTCTTGCTAACATGTTTAAAAAAAATCTCTGCAGTTAAAGTACTTCGATTTCACAGAAATCAACAAAAAATTTAAACGAAAATGCACACATTCTTCTGAATGTCATTTTCAAGAAGAATTTGTTTTAAAAGAAGTTGAAATACATATTGGCAGTGAATACTTTTAAATGCCCATTCTGTCCCAGAAATGCTTTTATTTTTATTTCTCAAAAGCTTTTTATTTTTGGTGTCCTTCTTCAGTATGGAAGTCAAAATACTATTTTTCTACTTTTATGTCATATAATTTCACATTTATGACATATAATTTCACATTGAGCACTACTTTTTTCACATGACAAACTCACATGCTCTCAACCCATTTTTTAAACATTATAAAACTCATGTCTGCCCTTTCTAAAGAAGGCCAAATTTATTCATTTCTGAGGCAAAATGTGCCTTTAATATATTAGTTAGCCAATATACATTACAGTATAACATGTAAGTATGCAATAAATTAAATAAAAAGAAGAGCACAAAAAGGAGTTACCTCCCATCAAATGTTTGAACATAATATAGTTCAATTAGTTTCAAAGAAAAATGTTGACATAAGACAAAATAATAAAACAATATCAACAACAACAACAAGTTTTCCTACAAGGACATTATCAAAATATACTAGAACTAATTCAAAAAAGTTTTAAGGAAATAAGACATACCATTTTTTAACACAAGTTTCTTTCATTTATTTTTGTCTCGTTAATTAATATTTTCTTTATACCTGGGACTAACTTAAAGAGGTATAACCTGTTCCTATACATTTAAACCTGAGATTTTATATACAATGTACTAGAAACTGTGTACTATGGTCTATTTTAACAATACTCAAATTTCTAGTGATCATTTAATGAAACATTTGATCAAACTGAAAAGTCAATGAAATGAAACAGTGTGGGTAACACAGCTCACAGGAGTGGAAAACTGTCAAAATGGCTGAGCTCCAGTAGTTAATCTTGTGAGATACATTTTGATATAAAATCTCTGGTTTCACTCATATTTAGGATTCATTTGCAAAGAAAATGTGTTGGTGTTTCCTCCTTTTAGAAAGATAATAAAATAAAGCTGTAAAGTTCTATATAGTATTCGGGATCATAACATGAAACTAAAAACAAGTTTCACATTCTTTAAGCTCTAAATTCAACAGTTTTAATCTTACATGCTAACACAATAAAAGTTTTTTCAAATTTCACTAGTGTGTGTAATCTAGCCAGAGTTCAAGACAGACAGATCCGATATATTTTACCTTGTCATTGTTAATAAAAACTGTCTATAAATAACATATAGTCATGTATAAGCAAAACTGATTGAACAGTAACAGATATAGCTGAACTCATTAGGAACAAAATCAAATTAAGGAGCTGTCAAAGAATATCTACTGAATATAGCAAATTTACACAAATATTATAATTTCTGGTGGAAAATTAGAAAATAAAGCTGGATAAATACCAAAATAAATTCCATACAGGTATATAAATGTTAGACCAAAATATGTACGCAGAAACAGCGTAAAATGCGTAGGATATCATAAACCAGACTTTATCAAAAGGCACTTCATGAGGAACTACCCTCGGGAAATCTCGCTCTTGTTTATCCATCACTTCCAGTCCACTTCCATGCTTATAAAAATGTTCCAAAAGTTTCTCTTTTTCCTCATATCTGTCATAAAGCCATTTGGCCCTACCTTCAAGGTCTGTTGGAACTTCAGACAATGGATATGCTCGGTAATGCACACGCATGTTTCTCGGTTCCCACCAGCCTATACAAATACCATGCATGTCAATAGGTTCGGAATCTGGGTAGGCCAAGGTCATATCAACCACCCATTCTATAGCAGTGTTGTTATTTTTTGGCTCTTGACATTCTGTAGATGAACCAGAAGTGAAATGATACTTTACAATCATTCTACAGTTTTATATAAGGTTTTATCTAAAACTAAATTCACAAAGCCTCTATTCTTCTGGCAAAAAATAAAGTATTATTACTTCAAACATTAAGTGGAGAACAGCAGAATACTAAATATATATCAGCATTGATACAAGTATTAATTTAAAATATTACAATCATTATTTCCATTAACAAAGCAAAGACTTATTTCTTCATTTTTTTTTCTATTTTTATTAGCATTTTTTTACTGTTTTGGACTAAATTCAAACAAAATGCATTTCGATAAATATGTTCCGTAATATCTAAATTTATCCTTTATCCCAAAAAAAATTAAATAGATAATTTATTGCAAATTGTTATGAAGATGAAATTGTCAGATTGTTTCTATAAAAAAAGACGTACCTTTTGATCCATTCCGGTTTACATTTCCTATTGTATCTATAATAGTACTAAAAGCTCCAAGTCTAGGCAAGGTACAATGTGATAATATAGGCAAATTATTCTTCTTAGCAAATCTGGAATGAAAAAAGTTTTCTTAACCTTTAGTCAGGTATAAAATAAAATGAAAATATGATCAAACATATGCAATTTTCCCACATGTATCAGTTAACTATGTGTACAGTATCTTGTACGCATATTTAAATGTAATAAATTTTAAGATCAAATAACCAATATAATAAAAATCATATCAATCATAATACAAATCATAATAAGCAATACAAAGGATAAATTGTTTCTGTAGAAGGTTAATATTCATTTTTGCACAAACTGAAGCTAAAGCTGATTGAAAGTCAATTTGACCTTTGACAACCTAAATAACATACTCGGAGCTCAAGTTAATTATAAATATAAATTAATTAACTGCCATCATTAGCAATAACAACCCTAGCCTGCAAGCAGCAACAGATTCTACTTGTGTGCAATCAGTGCAGACCAAAATCAGCCGGAACATTACTCAATCTATTATAAAAATAGAGGAAAATTATGTATTTCTGAGGCTTATTATGCCCTTAAATATACTCACATTTGTCCGCGCTCTCTTCTTTTGTAAAGGAATCCTCCCTCTGGAAATAAAACAAGCCATCTCTTGTCTTGACTGAGGTAATTGTTTAATAAATGCTCCCTGAGTCGAACTAATTGTTGATCCCTATATTCTTTGCCCTGCGAAAAAGGTAACAAAAAGTTAAAGGGAAGTAACTCAATGAATATTTTAAAACTTTATAACAACAAACAGCGGATCTTAAACCTTATGATCTTCATTTTGATAAATCATGTCTGCTGAAAACAAGAGTTGCATTAACATTATCAAATTACCAAAAACAACAACAACATGTAAGTAAAGGCTGAATCAACAACATATATTCAGCAATTTCATACCCTTTTTAGTACATTAACTTTGTTAGTTTCTCATCATACAATGAAAACATTGATATTGTGACAAACCAGAAGCAAAATAATAAATGATTGCACATTAATATGTACAGACATACACTTGTACACAAAAAATGAAAAAAATAGATGCAGAAACTGAACTTTAAAATGTGTGTGCGTGTGCGTGTGTGAGTGTGTGATTTTTTTTTTGGAAAAAATGTTGTTGTTTTTTTTAGACAAAGCATGATTGCATGGGAGAAAATATTTTAATATAGAGAAAAAAACTCCTAGGGAAGGAGCCCTCTCAGGGAAGGAGCCCACTTCTAGTTGTTCATTTATAGAGAAAAAAACTTAAATATATTTGGTTGATCTAGGACTGATCGGGCTAATTTAGGATGCAAATATTTTCAAATTTCAAAGGTACAATTGGACAAAATTAAACAGAATACAGTTTGATAACAATATCATTATTTACCTGCTGTATGAAGAAGTCACCATGGAGATTTGCAGCCCATCCAAAGTTGGTATATTTAAAGATGTAGTCCATCAACCACATGACCTGTCCAATGACTAGAGACTTTGGTAATAAGGCGGACATGACACACGGTATATCAGCCGTTGATTGATGATTCACCAACAATAACACATGCTTCTCATGTAAACTACTCAAATCATCTCCAGATTCTATAACTATAATATAGACAATATCAACTATTAAAATGAGGGTAAATGTATTAAAGTGAAGTACAAATCAAATAAAATCAAGAGTATACTTATGATAGTAATTATGCTCTCCTTGAAAGTCTGTCAAAGTCTGAAGTAGAGAAATTAACACTGGAAAACACTTTGATTGTATATAATTTGTTATTTAAGTGCGTTGAGTGAAAAATGCCAATAAAAAATCACATCATATCCTTTATAATCTACACATAAATACATGTACAAGAATGCTTCATTAGTGCATGCATGCCAATCTGACAATCATGTGCACTATATTGTCACCTTAGTGCAGTAACATGTTAACTCCTTATATAATTTAAATGGTGTTCATTACTGCACTAAGGTGACAATATGTATGTGTGTATACAGGAATAATAATTTCTTAATATTCAAACATTCTAATAAGCATCTAAACAATCAAATTTTTCCTTTGTGCAGTAATGGGTTAACTGCAAATATAATTTTATAGGAGTTAACCCATTACTGCATTAAGGTGATGAAGTGGTGATATATCATTAAGGTAGCTTCAACTGTCAAATGCAAAAGAACTTATGAAAATGTTCTAAGAAATATTAATCTCTTTAAGTTAAAACTCTCTGGAAATTAAATTTAAAAAGTTATTCAGAAGGCTGTAATTTTGTTCAAGGCAAGGTACTAGGGACCATTTCATAATGAAATGTGGGCCTGTATCCCTGATCTACGTAGTAAATACGTGCTTCCTTATTATATATATAAGACCTAAAAATTTATATATTTGACATAAAAACTAAAATGTTCAGTCTAGATGTACCAATAAAAACATACATCACTTACTTTTATATCCACCAGAATTGGTCCACATTACAACAAAGCTTAGAAGAGCCTTGAAAAGAATTCTCTCAATCTGCCAGTATAAGGGTGGGTAGAAATGACGCAAGGGTGTTAACAGAATGTACCAAGTAACATAGGCAGGTATTGCCATAAAATTGTTGACAGTCATGTGTAATACACGTAAAATGTAGTATAAAATCTTCCACACGCCAGGAAACCCCATTTTTAAATCTAAAAAGAAGAAAGAAAATTCATTAGAATGTAAAATAAACACCAACAGTATATAATGCACATGATCCATTCCTTTAGGAAGAAGCTCTACAAAATACTGTTTTTATTTATTTATGATGTTCCTTTCAGAGTAAGTATTATATTGATTTAACATTTACTTTGAACTGATTTAATCTATTAACAAATTTCTTAAATAGATTAAATCAGTTCAAAAGAAATGTTAAGTCAATATAAGTTATAACACTTATTCTGAAAGGAACATCATAAATAAATAAAAATGTTCTCTTTCAATAAAAATTGTATATTAATTACAGTGGAATCCACCAATGAATGCTTGGGTGGGTAAATTTGGTTTATCAATGAATAAATTGTATCATTCAATTTCTGTAACAAAGTGTTGGTTTTGTTGTTGTTGTTTATTTAATTTCTATTACGTAGAGAGCATAATAATAAATTATAGACATTGAAATATGAAATTTTTTCAAAAGGGCTTATATTATGATTGGTACATGTGCTGGGATTGACAAATATACATTTTATTTGGATTTTAAAGGCATTTTGAGCTCCACACCCCAAGTGTCTGTGTAAAAAAGCTTTTCAAGCTTCCAACTCAATCCGTACAATTTATCATTTGTCACTTATTATGTACATGTAGTGTTTATAAATAAAATATTGTTTAAACTAATCTCCTATTAGCTAAGAGCCAAAATCACAATGTATGTTAGTCCTAGTCACCATCCCCATATTTTATTTGTAAGTTTTATTTTTATTTCCCTCTAACTCTTAGAATACTGGTGACAACTTATCTTATTCATGCAAGCAGTTCAGACCAAGATGAGTTAGCACTATAGTGTTGTCTGATCATGGTCTGCACTGTTTATTTCCTGCCAGCTTCCATTTTAAAAGTGTCATTCGGTATTTCATGCACATCTTTGTTTTCACCTGGATCTTCTCAGTGACTATTCTTAAGCCGAAAAGTTGTGATTGTTCTGTTATCAGTATACCCCTCAGATTATAACCAAGTTACATCAAAAATAAAATGGCGACCCCCCTAGATATGACATTGAATATGTCATTAGTAGGTAAAGAAATCTATTTATTTTTTTAACTGTTTTTATTTTATTTTCTTTTAAATATACACATCAAGTCTATAGCCAGCCAAGTCAAAGTCCGGGACAGAAAAGTTTTCCCATATTACAAGGGCGCATCAATTTAGTTGTAAACTAATTTGATAGCGTCAAAACTACTGTTCCTTTTAAAATGAAACTTTAAATGCTGTGAAAACAGATTTTTTCACATTTTTAGTACCATGTACACAACTTTGACGTCATCACTTATGACGTCATAAACCGTAAATGACGTCACATTAAGGGCTTCCGTTAGAAAATGGCGTCGCACAGCCACAATGAACAGCGCATTGTTATAATTTTTTTTCCGATATTCGTGAAGATTTGCAAACACTTTATGGAGAGGCTGCTCTGTCAAATGGTGCCATTTTAAAGTGGATGAAGCGGTTTAAAGATTGCAGAGAGGCAATTGAAGATGACAGTCGTGCAGGTACACCAGTGACTGTAACAGATGAAGAAACAGTGGCTGCCATTTAGGAGTTTATACTCAAATATAGACGAGTAAGTGTGGAGCACATCTAGATAAGTTCGCTATTTCATATGGTACAGCTCAGGGCATTATGACTGATAGATCAGGAATGTGCCACATATCAGCAAGATGGGTGCCTTGTTTGTGTACGTCGGAACTCATGGCGGCAATAAGGAGAAAGCGCCCACATCTACGTAGGTCCAGATTCATATAAAATCAAGACAACGCACCGAGCCATTCAGGCCATGTTGTCATGGATACACTAGAAAAACTTGACTTCGAACTGTAACAGCACACACCCTTAGGCCCAGACCTAGTAATTTATGACTTCTGGCTGTTTCCAACCAAAACAGTCTTCATGTTATGAAATTTGAGTCAAGAGAGGATCTGAGGTGTGCTGTGGACAGACAGTCAGCTGTCAAGTGACAGGCTACAACACGTGTTCGAGTCATGGGTCGGGAGATTGGGCAAGTTCAAATCACGAATGGGACGTTACTTTGAGAAGTAGTAATCATTTTAGGTTCTTAAGCTAAATCACTTCCCCATTATTGAATTAGTTTACTTATTTATTGGTGCACCCTCATAGAAATAGAAACATGTACAATGGAGGGCAAAGTGAAAAGTAAAACTATATATCCAAGAATAGACCTAGAGTCTATTCTAGGAGTAAGCTGTTAATCCTGAAGGTTTTGCAAATATTTGAATCTGTTTCAACGGTTCAAATAAATAAACTTATTCAGCATAAGCGTTATAAATGGCAAAAAAGGTTTTATCTCTGATCTTCTACATCATGTACATGTTCTATAAATTTTATATCAAACTGTCAAAACACTGTCAAATTATCAATGTTGGTACTAAAATCTATAAGCCAGTATTTAAACTACTATATTGGCCTTTAATGTGCTAATAGCACCAGCAAAGGTCTGCAAATATCAAAGAAATATGTTTACATCAGTGCATAGTCCAAGTGACCTGACCTTTGTCTGTTTATCATCAAGGCTGGACTAACCAATTCTATATCTATTCTTTGTCAGAGACAATATACTGAATAATAATTAACCATTTGATGACAGAACATTAACATATTGTCATATTTTTTTTAATTGACATTACCAATAAAACAGAAAAGTTGATCTATAACAAAAATCTTACCTACTCAATTACAGTTTCCTGAAAATCATTAAATTAAGATGCGAGTCACCTCCCTTTAATTTACCTCCTCTTTGAAGAGCAGTATTACAAATGAGCGAAAAGTCGTCTTAAATCGAAATGGTAGTAAATCTGATAAGCTCAGTTTTTTACGTCACCCCGTAAAACATGAAAATAAGAAACCAGAAACTCTTTACAGGTCCAGTTGATAAACTAAATTCAGCTTGATTTCCTGAATAATAAGTTTCATAAAAATATAATTAAGTTTCATAAAAATATAATTTAAGGACCTGATACAAATAAGCCAATTTCACAGAGTTTCTGTATCATCTGTTATTCAGACAACGATTTTTGCTGTTGTTCACGAAGCCTGGTTCCCGTCGTACTATAAAATTTATTGAACGGAGAGAAATGGGCAGGTAATCCAGACTATTGAACGGAGAGAAAAGGGCAGGTAATCTAGACTATTGTTTGTTGGTTCTTTTATCGCTGCTGCTGCTGCTGCTGCTGCCGCTGATGCTGATGATAATGGTGGTGGTCGTGGTGGTGAAACGGATAATATATATCTTCCTGGCATGGCCCTACCATGGTATCCAATGTTTTGAACTGGCAGCTAAAATATAAACGATGTTAGTATAAATTACTTATATAGTTTAAACTAGTCAAGACATTTACAGACGCAAACTTTACAGTAGATGATTCGCTTCAGAAAAGATACAGTACGGGGCAATGGTGGTCTGTAAACCTTATGATCGCATGTTCGAGCCATATAGTCATGTTTCCTAAAAAAATGTTAATGATAGTTCACGCGACGGAGAGGATTCGAGAGCGATTCAAATGGCTTGATCGAAATTCTGAACTAAATATCTCAACACTAATTAACAAAAGAAAACATAAAATAGTTATTTGCCAGCAGAAATCTGAAAATATTACCGTTCAACAGCATTCCACTTGAGAGTTATTTTAAAAATTCATAATTAAATCTTTGTGTAAAATTACACTGTACTTTCTAAAAAATGAACTTTTAGTACATAAAGTTTTATCAATGAACAAAAATATTTATCAAAGTGTCTTTTTTCTAAGTAACATAATTATGTTGTTGAAATGTGATATTAAAGTTTTAAAATAACGGATATGAAATTCATGAACTTTCATTATTTTTACCATATGATTATTGCTAAATATGACTTATTTAACAACAAATATGGTACCTGACGTTTTCAAAGTCTACCAAAATCAGAACTGCAGGGTAAAAGTACATGTATTTAATAATTGGCAAGATCAACCAGTATACTTCTAAGAAAATTTAGGAAAACTTTGAAAACAGGCTCTCAATGGAGTACATTGAAAGTGTATAAAAAACTATTAACCGTAAGGAAAATTTTGGTTATTAGATTGGAGCATGTCGGCGAACAGGGTCTGCGCAACTTCCCCTACATTTCTCAAGGGATTTGAACAAACTTTCACAGAAATATTGTCATCAATGGCACTGGCGCGTATTTCGGTGTATTGCGAAACTTTTGGCGGAATTATGACCAACATTTTGACAGAAGTTTTACATTTTTCAGCCTAAAATTTTCATTAAGGGTCACAGACGTGTTATGAGGTAAATCACTATCATTGGTACCTCTAGTTTGATTTCTGCTATATTTATATAATGTATAAATGCATATAATGTATAATAAATAATAAACAAAACAAAATATCCCCAAAGCAAACAAAGGAACGGAGCAACATAAAGTATTAATTTAATCTAATGAATAGATTATTATCATTATCAATAATTAATTATCAAAAATTAATTTGTTCTTAAGTTTGTTGTTTGTAATAATATGCATCTAATTAGATACAATTAGCATGTCAAATATGTAGAAACATAAATGATACAAATTAAATTATTCATCTATATATAACATCAGTAAAAAACTCCAAAAAGCCATAACCTCTCCCCCCCCCCCCCCCCAAAAAAAAAAAAAAAAAAAAAAGTTTGAATTGCGAAATTGCAAAAACAACCATATTGCTTTTGTGGTTTATTAGCTGAATGTTATTAAATAATCTATAAGGTAACATACACGTTTATTTCGTAAGGATGACATTATCAAAGTCCTTATTATTCTTTATCTTAACCCATTACTTCATAAGCATTTTGTGAAAAATGGCTGTTTTCATTGAAAAGTCTCTCGTTACAAGTTCAAATTGCTATAATACTATAAAAACTGCATCAACACTAATCAAACTTGGCACAAATGTTGACTGGAACAATGCCCTTGCAACAAC